AAGTATATATATTTTATTAAAATTTAAATTAAGAATTTTCATATATAAATTGTTAAGATTTTAATTAGAAATTAGATAAAATAAATAGAATATTTCGATATTAGAATAGATAAATATTAAATGTTTTGATTTAGAAAAACTTACTTTATATGGATTATTAATCATATAAATTATATGGTAAAAATTTATAATGATTTTATTCTTTTTTTTCGGAATATACTTGTCTTAATAATATTATTTATATAAAATTTAAGTTTATTTTAATAATTATATTAGATAAATTTTTAAATTTTCAAAATGTATAAAATGTATTTATATAATAAAAGATGATAGAATTAATTGTTATCAATTTTCAATTATGAAACAATTTTTTTTACATTTTTATCATAAAAATCTATAAAACTAAAGTTAAAATTATTAATTAAGATTAATAATAATAAATTAAAATTGAAGATACTTAAGATAAAAAAATATTTTATTAAAAAAGAACAAAATATAATATTTTCATTTATTTAATCGTAGAATGGAATTTTTAGTCTGAACTTTCACATCTGTTTCATTTTGTGACATTTGGCAACAGCGTAATCAAGAGTAGAAAAGGGAGAATACAACGGAAGTTGGTATGTAAGAAAGATAGATTCAACAAACATAACTCATCATTTCTTTGAAGCAGGAATGTAAATGCTTTACGAATTACATTTATTATATAGAGTATTACTTTTTATGTAAATTATTTAAATAGTATTTCATATTTGAAAAAATAAATCACAAAAAGTATAATTTCATATAAATTTAATTAACTTATATAAATGATTAATAATTATGATTCGTGAAATTCAGTCTGTTATTCTAAATATTTTATTTTTAAATTAACAATATTTAATTTAATTTTTAAATTTTTTTAAAGAAATATTATATTCCGATGATTAACAAAAATAGAAATATATTATAAATATAACATACCTATCAAAATAACTGTAAAAGTAAAACACGCACTTTGTTTTCACACATACACACACAACTTTTATACCAATCTTTAACGTCGACCTCCGACGTTGTTACTGAAGCGTATGCAAGCGAGGGAGGTTATTCGGGAATACGACACAAGTAAGCCTCACTACATGCGCCATCTAGTGATCAAAAGGAACTATCTATAAACTAATGGTTATGATGAATATTTGAATCTCAATTTTGAAACAAATCGAAATTATTTAATTTTGAATTACATTAAAAATTTTAAATGTTTTAATATTATTAGAAAATAATTTTGTATCATTATTAGAAATATAATACAATCTTATTTTATTTAATTTATTGAGATATTACTTAAATCACGTGAAAAATGAATCATCCTGTTCTTTCATTAATAATTAATAAATCTAATTATTAAAATAATCTTTAACAATAAGATAATAAGTTAAGATAATAAGTTAAAAAAGAATATGCACAATTTATATGATTAAAATCATGGTATATATAATTGCAATTATAATGAAATAAAATCATTTCATATTTATTAAAAAAATTAATTAGAAATATTAATCAATTTTACATTTTTAAGTTTTATTGTTGTCAATATTATTAATAAGAATAACATTATATTTTTTTTGCAATATTTCGTTATTATTATAATAATTTTATTATTATTCTATTATTATTATCAAATATGTTACATTAATTTTATAAATGAAAAATCTAAAAATGAAATTGATTTTTAATTTTATTATAAAAAATTAGTATATACGAAAATTGAATTATTTTGTTTAACAGTATTATATTAATCATTATTTTTATATTATCATATTAATTAATATTATAATATTATTATATATTATAATATTACATATATTTTAGAAATGAAATTAAAAAATAGAATACTGATAATATATATTTTTTCTTTCATAAGAGGTGATTTTCTCAAATGTTTAAATGTTGCAATTCATATTTTTATATTTATTGATTTAAATACTTTTTTGTAAGGAAAAATTAAAAAAAAACGAGAAATACATCTTTTGTCAAATATTTTAATAATTGCAATAATAATATATAACAATAACCATTGTATTTAAGCTCTTTTTTTATTTTTTTTTGTTTGATACAATAATATAACCAAAACATAATAATAATAAAGATTATTATTTATATAGATATTTTTACTCACATATCAATTTATGCGTAAAATTAATAATATATAATTTTTCAAAATTTTTTTTCCAAGAATATTAATATAGTAAAATATTTTTATATTATTCTATTGTTATTTGTTATTTAATTTAAATTATGTTATATACATTTAAATTTATATAATTTATATGAAATATATATTTTTTTAATATGAGATAAAAATATATATGTATATCATGTATAAAATTATTATATGAATTATATATGAAATATATTTATATGAAATATATATTTTTTTAAGATGAGATAGAAATATATATGTATATCATGTATAAAATTATTATATGAATTAGTATGTAAATTTATTATAGTTTCGAAAATTTATTATTTTAATTTTTTTGTAAGAAATGAATTATAACATTTTACATTCGGTATGTTTGTGTATAATTTAATTTTATTTACATAAAATATATTTTAATTAATATAATATAATCTTGAAATAATTTTTTCTATTGTTTGCTATATCATTTAATGTTTTAATAATGAATCAATGAAAGATAAAAGACATCATACATAAAAAATATAATTAATTATGAAAAAAATGTTAATATATTATTTATAAATGCATTTATTAATATTTTCTCTCAATACTTTTTTGTATTTAATAAAAATCAAATAATTTTAAAATTATAATATTATACATTAAAATTATTATAATGTAATATATATATTTAATTTGTCCTTTAAAAAATGTATATTTAATTCACCAATTAATTTAACAACTATTGATCTATAATTAATTTACAGTTAATTAATTTATATGACAATTATTACAATTGTTGACTAATAAATAATTATATCTTATCTTATCTTATCAATATGCTAGATATTAGTTTAAGATATTGTATTGTATGATTATTGTACATATTGCATATTGTATATTATATATTGCTATATATAATTTATATATAATTTATATATATAATATATAATATATATATAATTTAAAAAATTATATTTAGCATAAAATAATTCGTGTAAAATTAAATTTAATAACTATTATATAAATATAAATATATATGAATATAAAGTTATAAAATTTTATTTATCTAAATATTTATATTAATATTTTTTTAATTTTAATTTTTAATTAGTTAATATGATATACTTATCAGTAATGTATATTGAAAGAATTTTATTTTGCTTAATAAATTTATATCATCATTTTCTGAAACTCTTTCATAGAAGTAACATTCACATTATCTTTTTCTTTTATTTCATTCTATTTATTGTGAATGTCATTTTTAACTCAAGTGATAAATATCAATTCTTGGAAAATTTATCTCCACAAATAACTGATAATATATTGATAGTATATAAATTAAACTAAAAAATCTATCAAAAAAAATCGCACAATAATCACTGTAATTATTAAAAGTAGCAACATAATATTCTATTTAATAAAAATTATTATGTTTCAATTATTCAATAATATACTTGATATAGTTTTAATCTAATACAATTAAATCATTTTTTTTCTTTTCTTTTCTGTTTTTTTTTGTCTACAATATAATTGATAAAATAGATATAATTTTTACGTTTTAAATTTATATAAATTTAACAATATATTTATTATTTGCTATATAATTTATGATAGAAATGTACGAACAATAGCTTTAATTTCTTGTCTACACATTAGACAATATGTAAGAGATGGTGCACAATAAACACAAGTTGCTAAATGTCCACAAGGTAAAAATACAATAGCTATTTCTCGATCCATACAAATTTTACATAAGCGAGCTTCTTTTAATTTTCTATTTTCTTCTTCTAAAGATGCTGAAACAATGGATAATATATTCTTTTTATTAATTATTAATTATATCTTTAATTAATATCTAAATGTATTTTAATTAAAATATAATAATTTATTTTAAAATTTATTTAAATTTATTATTATTATATTTAATTATATTAAATTTATTAAATTTTATTTTATATATAAATTAGTGATTTTATAATTATAATCTTTCTGCTAAATATGATGTATTTTAACATAAAATTATTATCATTACTTACTAATTTCCTTGAAGTTAATATTTGTCTTTCTGTTAGCTGTATTATTAAATACCTCATTTTCAATTGAATGTTCTTTATATTCATTTTTTTTCATATTATTACATTTTTCTATATTGTTTGTTTGTTCCCTATTCCCATATGATTTTAAAAACAATAGTTAATTTTAGTTAGTTAATTTTAAAAACATGAGATTCAACTTTATTTACTAAATGATTTACTAACTTTGTTGATTCTTCCATAATTTGCCCACAAAGAACATCTTCTATAAGTTGATCAGGATGTGTGTATGGTATTCCTACTTCCTCTATTCGTTTTTGCAAAGCTCTTTTTATTTTATCCATATGTAATCCAATTTCTAAAGCTATCTAAACATGAAAATACTATGTATAATAATAATAAATATATTTTGAAAGTTATCAAATACAAAATACATAATACATTACTGTTACTAATGGACTCTCTAATAATTTTTTTAATGTTGCTTCTGTAATTTCTAGTGAAGATGAAGAAGTACATGACATTTCAATTTTATCTATATTTTCGTCTTCTGTTATACCTTCAAAAATCTATATAAATATAAAATCTAATTTAAAATTTTTAGAAAATATAATATAAGTGTAAATTGTGTAATATTTACTTACTGATTGATCTAACGGTGGTCTATTATTAATGCATTGTTTGATAAATTCTTGTCCCCTTACAAGATTTACAAATTCACATTTAGGAAACCATTTTGCATGTTCAATCCATGCATCATCTGTTGTTTCCCAATTTCGTAAGCCACCATCACAATGAAAACATCTAACATGATCACCATATCCTATTATAATATTTTAATACTATTAGTTTAATATTTTAATACTATTAATCTAATTTATTAGTTTAATCTATATAAAATTATTAAATCTTCATTTTATATTTATTTGTATTATATTATATTTTATATTATACCATCATAATAAAATCCTGCACTAGCTAATATTTCAGGAGTTTGTTTAATATTTTCTGGCCAACCATTAAAAGTATGTAATCTTCCTTCATATGTTGCACAATCTTGTTTTTTAGGAGTTGTGTGTGTTTGTATTCCTAAGTCCAAAAGATTTGATGTTGTACCAGATATTAATTTTACATTACTTAAATATAAATTATCTATTAAAAGAAATGTTAAAGTAAGAAATAATTAAAAAAAAGAATAATCTTTCTGGAAAAATAATTTTTTTATATATAAATACCATCTTTATCTTGATGAACATAAAAATTACAATCAGGAAAATATTTTCTATGTTTTTTATTTGGATCATCACCAAGCTCCCATTTTTTTAAAATACCTCCACAATATATACATTGTACCTATAAATAATATAAATTATATAGAAATAAAAATATAATGTTATAATATATAATATTTAAAATATTCTCAATTCTGTATATGCAAACACACACGCATAATATATATTACGTATAATAAATATTATTATTTATTTTTTTAAATTCATTATTACTTCATCATCATGTTGAAGATAATAAAATCCAGCTTTGGCAAGATTTTCAGGTAATACAATAGAAGAAAGTGGCCAATTAATAAAAGATTGTAACCTATGTGACATGATTTTATATTTTTTTTGAGATTCTTTGTATTGATAAGAATTTGTAGATTGATATTCAATTATATTATTTTGTGATATTTCTGTTGATGGTGATGCCAATTCATTATTGTTAATTGGTATTAAAGGAATATTACAAGTACTAGAAGGATTTTGAACAAAAGAACAATTAGGTTCAGCTAATCGATGACGAACTATAGCTTGATCACCATAATTCCAATCAGAAATTTTTATTCCACATAAAAAACATTGTACTTCTAAACCATGTCCACTATAATAAAATCCAGCTTTTGCTATTCGAGCAGCATCAACTGCAGCATTTGCTGGCCAATCAGTAAAAGTTTGTAGTCTATTTTCTTCAACATTCATTTTCGAAATTCATTTATATTTATATATCAATTTTATTAATAGGTCAAAAAATTAATTAAACTTTAATATATTTGATGTAGGATAAATGATCATTATATTTTATATTAGGAACTCAATTATTTTAGAAATATAAAAACATACTGGTTTAATATAATAATCATTTAAGTACATGTCATATCACAAAGTATAGATTAACTGACAAAGTATAGAAATACACTATATTTTATCTTCTATATAATTAAAAACTTTTATTTCTACGCTTGCGCAAAAGTTAGGATTTTTTTATTAGGATCTCTGTTTAATTCAGATTTTTATTTAATATATTTTTCTAATATTAAATTTAAATTAAATTAAAATGATTATCATTTTATAAAAAAATTTAATTTATAAAACATGTAAAATATTATATATATATATATAAGTTGAAATATAAGTTGAGAGTTTAAGCAATTAATTGTATCTTAGATACAAGTTATAAGTCATAATAAATTGTTATATTTTTTTAAAATGCTGATATTAAAAAATATAAATAAAGTAAGTTTTTTTGTAAAGTTGAATATTTATAATAATTTACAATAATATTTATAATAAAATTAGTTTTTGATAATTAATTTCTAAATGAATATTATATATATTATATATATATATAATTATAATGATGATAATTTTATAATTTTTTTCTTTCTTTTATTACCTACATTTAATAAATAACTAATATATATAACTAATATATATATAAATAACTAATATATATAACTAATATATATATAAATAACTAATATATATAATCTATATGTTATATATAATCTATATGTAATTTGCAAAAATTTATTTAAAAAAAATAAAAAGATTTTTTATTGTTTAGCAGTTTTTTTTTCATGTTTAGATTTCTTTGATCAACCAACGATTGTATAGCTCTAAAATAAAATTAAATGATGTCGTTATAGTTAGTGCAACTAGAACACCTATGGGATCATTTCTTGGAGAGTTATCTGGTTTATCTGCACCAAAACTTGGAGCCATAACTATACAAGTATCCATTTCTATTTTATATTAATTAAAATAATAATAGAATTGTTGTAGATAAATAATATATAATTTCAATAGGCAGCAGTAGAACGAGCTAGAATTCCCAAAGATAAAATTACAGAAATATATATGGGAAATGTTTGTCAAGCTTTTTTGGGTCAAGCACCAGCAAGAC